CTCCTCCGTAGTGCTAGGTAATGTACCTTGAGGTCGACTATTGAGTTCATTGGCGAGCTGCCCCACTTGAGCTTGCAAATTCCGCATAGCTGCATCATTTCGAGTCATGTACTCTTTCATCATACTCGTAATAGTCATGTATTCCTTCATCATGCTTTCAATACTACTCATGTTAGGCTGCACTAGCTACGCTGGAATTTTTTGTTGATTGTACTACAATGGAGGTAGAGGTAGAGCTAGTGTTGACGGGAATCCGAGAGGATTGGAAGTCTACTTTTATTGTTGGTTTTGTACTTGACCCACAGTATTGGAACTACCTTGCCCACTCCATGAAAAATTAGGATGGTGTCTCCATCCCGGGTTGTAAGTGTTGGAGTAAGGGTAAAGTTCCTTTGATTCCCTTGTCCTACATAACATAAAGAAGTTGGATTAGAAGCGCAATTTTCAGAGTTATGAAAATCTCCACAATAATAACAAATTGATTCAGTCATATGATAAATAGGAGCAAGATTAGTATTTCCTGTTGGTGTAGGTGCGACATTGTTCCCTTGCATATTCTTCATCATTTGTATAAGGATATCTATTTGACTTGGCATTGATGCTGCAATATCTAGAGTTAACACTCCAGCTTGATCTTTTTTCTTCGGTTCGATCCTTGATCTATCCGAACACCATAGATCGTTGTGTTCAATTAATTGATCAAGAATTATGACGATCTCGTTGAATGTCTTGAAAGTGAACTTTCCATTCAAAGCCGTGTTTAACATAATTTTCGTGGATATATCGCAACCTCGATAGAAATGTTCTATTTGTACACAGGCCAAAATTCCTAAGATTGGGCAGCTCCTTAGTAGCTCCTTAAAACGTTCACATGCTTCATTAACAGATGCATTCTCCCTTTGCCTAAAGGTGATGATCTCTTCCCTTACGTCCGCGTTTCTTGTGGGTGGAAAATATGTCGCAAGGAACTTATCCACCATGGTTACCCATGTAGTAATGGAGTTAGGAGGAAAAGCATTCAACCATGTTGTTGCTTGACTTGAAAGGGAAAAGGGGAATAATTTTAATCTTAAAGCATCGTCAGATATTCCTGCTAATCTAAAAGAATTTGTCACTTGAATAAATGATTTAAGGGGAGAATGTGGATCCTCATGCGAGAGTCATGCAAACTGGCCAATAGTGTTAAGCATTTGAAGCATCATCAGTTTGAACTCAAATTGGGCATTTTATGGAATTGGATTTGTTGCCCGAGTTTAAGTTCTATAAAGTAGTGGCCGTGTAGTCGCGCATTGCAATATCTCTTCGGTCGTCCAATAAGATTGGATTTGACACTTCGTTTTTTGCCATCTTGGTGATTACTTCCTCAAATTCTTTATCTTTCTCTTTTTGGATTATCGCTTGTTGTTCTCTGAGTCTCCACAGGGACTAGTTTTCTTTTAAAATTGAATTTGTAAATTTCTTGAATGAGCAACCGGGTTTGGGATAAAAATTGGTGAAATTGTTGGGAACACGATTTAAAAACACAAAGATTAAAAGGTCAACCCCCTACTAAGATTTAATTCTAAAAAAATGAATTACACCTACCAAATGTGCACATAATTATGCTCAATTTATGTAAGCTGGTTCAACTCCTATTCCATATTGCTTTTGGTTTGTTTAGAAGCTTAGGCTAGCATTTACATATGTCTATGAAACTCTAGAATCCTAAATAAATCAAATTTCAACTTATGTTTAACAGGTAAGAGAACCTATGTCTAGGATCTTGTTTTAGTTCTTATGTCTAAGTAACTTCTCGTTTTACCTTGATGAAATCCGTTTGACTCTAACCTTTTCAGAATTAAATTCAAACTACATGATTTAACAAGTGGCCAACAAGAAAATCAACTAGAATAATTATATCAATCAAGATAAGCAAAATGAGCGTAATACGCTATGCTCACTGATAGATGTAATTTAAAATAGATGAACTAAAACATTCGTGTGAGGGTTGAAGAAATAATTTAGCTACTCATAGAAGTAAAAGAATTGAAATAACAAGAAAAGATAACAAAATAATGCATTTTCATTAGAATTGGAAAGAAAGAACAAAATTGGAACAAATTGAATTGCAGTAAAATAAATAAGAGTAATTGCAAAAAGTTTAATTGAAGAACAAAAACTGAAATGCTACAAAAGAAACTCAAAAAACTAAAGTTGATGACAAAGTAGAAAGGAAGAACAAAAGCATGGAACAATGATATGTGAGATGTGATCATTGGAAGCTCAATTTATAGGCTTGGGAGGTAACAAAGTGTTGAGAATTCCATGGGAAGTTGGCAACCACTAGTTATTGTAGAGATCTTAGGAAGTAAGACCAAATCTTGGACCAATACCTGGTCAAAAGTGGTTATTCACGTTTTGATTATCTAAGCATCGAATGTGGCTGAAGCATTGTTCTAATAAGCTGGAAATTTTGGGTATGATGCGCCTGATGCATTGTAATCACCAATCTTCGATTTTCCTTACAAAGTATGTATATTTACACCAATTAGTCTTCATTTACCTATAACTAATTGTCCAAGTCCTTAATCACAAAATATGCACATTTTTGCTAACATAGATGCATAATCATACACTTTACATCCTAACTAACCCTCAACTAAGCACACAAATCCATTCTTTTTAGCCTTTAATTGAGGCTTATCATGTGTCAAGGTTTTCCACATACATAATAGACTAGCTTTGATTTCTTGATTCTTCTACTAGTATTTTTTATTCGAAATCCTTTCCTCTTTTGTGTTATATCCTTAGAAACCTGTTTTTCTTTGTTCTTCAAGCTATCTTTCGGAGCACCAGAAGATTCAACCAGATTAGCCTTCACTAAATTTAAAATTTGAGAAGATTAGTTCTTGGAGAGTTAGGTCCTTCTTGTGTTTCAAGTGGTTGCGACAATCGCTCCAAGAAGGAGGGAATTTCTTTAGCAGCACGCTTGCCTGAAAAATTGTTGTATTCTCACAACCAATGGTGAATACAAGTGCAAGTGTATACTATTCTTGCCGATTGTAGTATAAAGAATGTTGAAAATCCACAAGGACTAAGGATATTACTCTAAGCGTACGTTCAAGAATACAATAAATGCAAATAAAAGATCATCATTGTTTGTATAACTAAATTAAGTAAAATGCTATAGAAATGCAAAAATATAAAATATAAAAAAATCCAAGAAAAAAAGTAATATTTTAAATCAAAGATGCTTAAATAAAAGAAAGTTTATACGTCAAGAATTTGAGAAATTATGTAATCTCAATTCCATCATAGGAATTTACATGACATCGTTTTAATTCCTTTTTTTAGAAAAATCTATTTAATTTTATGAAAAACTATGATGATTCCAATGTACCTACACGAGAGTCGAAACTCCACGAAAGCACATTACTAATAATTTTAGTGCAGTTACACCGGAATCGAAACTTCACAAAAGTGCACTACTCGGTCCTTAAAATAAAAGTATTGTTAAAGAAAGTGATTTTATTTATTATATTATTTTGGAAAACAATATCTTTTGACTAATTTTTTAAAATTCAATTGTAAACTGAATCAAACCATAATATAAATATTTTGTTTTTTAGGTTTTCTTATCTTATTTTTTGACCCACCATTTCATACACTAATAAGCCAACAACTGAAACCCACCAATCATATTTTACTCAACTCCTAATTTCAATAAACAAATTTAATTAAAAGTTGAAATCACATCATATATAATATAAAATTGAGTAGGCATTTATTATTGATAAATAAAATGTGTACTTATTTCAAATAAAACCATAGATTTGCATTAGAGCTAGAGACCCGGAAAGATTTATTAATTTTTATCTTTTTACATGATATCTATATCATCTCTTTTTAATTTTAGAAAGCATCTTAGTTTAATTCCTATTTTCATTCTTTTAACTTTAATTTTGAATACATGGAAATTCCATAGATTTATGGAAATAGAATTACACATTATTTGAATCATAACATAATTTTAACTTCCTAAAAAACAACCAACTTTAAAATAAATTAATTTGCACATGCCATCTAAAAATAAAGATAAATACAATAATCATTTAATCAAATTAAACAAAACAACTAATATGTGATTAGTATCAAATTAAAATAAACAAATTAATTAATTAAATAAATTGGAAATAATAAACTAATATTCACAGCACGAATCATGGAGAGGTTGAGGAGAACCTCATGTAGAATTCTTTTTTAAAAATGCCACAAACCGTTTGCAATATAAATTTTAGCAATATCAAATAAAAATAACAATAGAAATTTCAAACCTTCATGTAATTTGAATCTGCAAGTGAAAAGAAAAAATGTGGCAAGGAAAATACTACTACGGTGGAAATGAGATCTTGAGGAGAATCGAGAAGATGAGAAAGAAAAAAATTTTGAAGAGATTTTGTAAAGAATCCTTTGTGACGGAGAAAAGAAAAAATTATCCTCTTATCTCTCTCTCGTTCTTCTCGTGTATGTTAACCCTCTCCCCCTCTTAAAAGAAAAAATCAGTCAAATAATATACGAAGAAACTTGGAGAGAAAGGAAATGAAAATTAATTGAGAGAGAGGTTAGAGAAGAAAGAATGAGACATTAGCGGGAGTGAGGTAGAATGTAGAGAGGAAGAAAAGAGAGAAATCGGTGGGAAGAGGGAGGAGGGTGAATGTGTGAGAGAGAATGAGAAGTTGTTGGGAGTAAAGGAGAAACTTACATAGAATCTCGAGAGTGGCGAGAGAGATTGGGAGAAGGTCAGGGGAAAACGGCCTAAACAGGTGTGAGGAGAAACTTTGAAAAGATATTTTATATATTTCTTTAAATTAATTTATATTTCCTCAAATGATCTCATTTCTAAATTCAAAATTTTAAATTTCAAAATATTATTTTTGTTAGTTTTTGTTATCTTTATATTTTTGTTAATTTTTATAACAAATAACAATTATGAAATATAAATAAAAATGACTCGGACAAAATACGATGTCTATAGGGGTACGAACCACCTCTTCATAAGCTCCTTCAATTCCAACCATATGTTTCCAGTAGACCTTCTTATCGTCTCCTTCTCCTAAAACACACCTTATCCCACCAAGTTTGTGCATAACTCTTAAAATGTACTGTAACAGACATAGTTATCTTTCTCTCTTTAGTGAGGTTGTTGCCATAAAATAAATGTTCATCTTCTTGTTCCCATTCTAAATAATCTCCTGGGTTGGAAGTGAAATTTAACCTTAATGTCAAAGCCCCGATCTCCATGGTTGTCTCCTCTCCTTTGATCCCTTGTTGCTTTCTATTTTGGAAACCTTCTCTTCCTCTCAAGCCTCGACGTTCCCCTCTTCTAGGTATTGCAACCTCGGCTCCCCGTCTTCATCTTCTTCCCCTAAGTCTTCTTCCTCCAAAACTTCTTAGGCTACCTCCTTCCTTGAGGTTTATCCCTAACTTGAAGTCTTTGCTCCATATCCAACCTCTCATTGATCATAGTCTTCACATTGTACATGACTCTCACAAAGAATTGTTCTTTTAGTTCCATCTCTTCTACATCTCCATTATTAGGTCTACCTCCCAAGTTTTTTACATCACTGCAACAGAGAAAACGATCAAAAGAAAAGTGGACCTCACAATTCACTTTCTCACATGTTTCACTCAATTGATGTGGTTTCACTGGTGTTTACACTCTAAAATGGATATTATTTCCCACAAGGATGCAATTTCGTCTCAATTATATGGTGATGAACTAAGAGTTTTGCAACCAAGAAACTAAGAACCAAACAAGTAACCAATCAAATAGGAATATTTGTTAAGTGTCAAACTCAGGTAAGGAACAAGTAGAACTCACAAAATAAGAAACTAAGAATCAAGAATCTAATATTCAAGATCCAACCAACCAGGATAAAAAATAATGAAAATAAGATATCCGGAATTAAGGACTCAAAAGCTCAAAGAATTATGCAAAGATGAAAAAAAAAAAGAGACAAACAACTATGTTGAGAATCAATTTCTACTCTGCTACTAAATCAATTCTGTATCAAGTTTTCAACTCTCAATTGTTCAAGAATCTAACACTATTACTATCCAGAATTTAACAAACAGAGAAATCAAGAAAACTGAAGTGAGAAGAAGGGAAGAGAATACACCAGGATTTTATAGTGGTTGGATCATAATTTGATCTACATCCACTGTCGCCACTCCACTATATTCAATCTTCAATTCAACAGAGATTACAAGAGGATTTCTCTCATCATACAATCTGCAATATACAGACTCACAATCTCTCAATTACAATCAGTAGTACACTCCCCAGAACCCAAAAATCCAATACAGAGATTATTCCACACACCTTCTTTTTCCAAAACGGAGTATCACACTCTTTTTCTCTCCAAGAAGCTTCTCGCAACCCCCTTCCTCTTAATCCTTCATGACCCTACCATTTTCGTGATGAAGAATGGCCTTCCAGAATATTCTTCTGATGGTGCGTATTTCTGAGCTGGAACAAGTTGGTTACAAGATGATGACTCCGTGGGTTTTAAAACCATTCAACTAAATTAGCTAAATAATTGCTGACGTGTACCGATAATAAAAAGATATATGAAATTAAACCTATCAAAAATAGCAAACTAAACAAGAATATTAAAGCAAAATTAACAAGGAAACCATGAAAAATTAGAATGCAACAAAACTCACAAATTCTCCCAACACCCAATTCTTCCTCCTTTATTTTCTTAAATTTTCTATATAAATCTCAGTTGCTTCAAATCTATGAAAAATTTAACGGCTTGAATTCACCTACTTGCTTCACCTGCTTCCATAAAATTCACGCGTGTCGTGATAAATAACTAGAGATAATTAACCGGCTTGCTTCAATTAAAATTCACCTGCTACTTATTTCAATGCATCTACTACTCTGTTTTTTTTTATTATTCTTTCTACCACCTGCACCGCTTGGCTTTCATATTTTTTTCTCTCTCTTTCTTCCTATTATTGACTCTAAGGTCTCTCACGCCCAAAATTTTTCACCGCCAACGTAGAAGACTTTGTTCCTCTCTCTCTTTTTTTTTTCCTACTTTTGACTCTGTTGCGCGCTACCCATAAGTTTTTTTTTTCTTACTCCAAATCAAGTAACCAACTTACAAAACCTATCAATGAAGCAACAATTAAACCCTAATAGTGTTGCACTCAACAACAAGAAGGTAGACACGAATACACCCAATCCAGAGTCTAACTCTGATACCAAATGATGTGAAACTTTAGAAATTGCAAATAAAAACTCTTCCACTTAAGTAGAACCCCTAATTGTCAATACATAAAACCTCAAATCAAATAGCACAAAACCCAAGGGAAATATTAGATGAAGAATTACTTTGATCATCGAAGACCAAGAGATAAGAATAACTGGTTTCCTACTCAAGATTGAACACTCCACAGGAAAGTTGATCAAACCTAGCAACCTAGATCAAGAATTGCAAAATTGATGAACTCTTAGTCATCACGTTAAAACACTCAGATTCATTTTGAACTCAAACGGATTGTTGTGTTCACAAGATTAAATCTCTAATCTAAAAAAATAAGCTAAATACTATACAACCCCCAACTAGGGTGACATGGTTAATTTTAAAAATAAACCCATAGAATTAATAATTCAATGTCACATCATTGGCTAAAAATATAAATACCTAAAATAAGAGAAATAACAATTTTAAAATAAACAAAATTATTAATAAAAAGTTTTTCAACTTCTTCTAGTAAACTTCTTCTAGTGTCTTCGTTAAGCACCATTAATAAAGTTTCTTTCCATCTTACCCTCTTGATGTCCATTAGTGGAACTGTTTGGATGTGAGAATCGAAGCTATCTCTAACTGTTTGGCCCTTGAACGAGTGTTTGGTGTTGAGGGCAAGGCTAAAACATTTTGGTTCATATCAGAAGTGCTTTATTTATAAGTGGTACATCCAATAAGGTATTTGACCGGCGGTTTCTTCTATCGAATAGTTCATTGTCGAAGGTTAGCCTGTCGAGTGTTTAGATTCAGAGATGTGTAAGACCTTCAGCTAGATAGGAGTTTTCCAGTGTAGTTTTATGCTTAGTACGAAGGTCAATCATCTCTTATTTGGTCTTTAGGGGAGACTTGGTCTTTCCAACATTCTTTTGTTTTATGGTAAAACTATTTTTTAACCATAATATAGGTTAATCGACATTTCCATTATATCATAAAAATACTAAGAAAATAAACAGCATTGATATAAACACAAATACTTACAATTAAAAATTGTAAGCTAATCCGAACATAGTTTAGTGGCTAAAGGCACCAATTACTTTCCTTGAAGTCATTTAGTCTCCCTGCCACACATTTGTTGTTCTAAAAGAATTATAAACTTATAACACATACTAGTATGTTACCACGTGCAAATGCACGAAGTATTTTTAATTTAATTTAATTTAATAATAACATTAATAAAAAGGAATTAAAAATCAATACCAATAATTGCAAAAGGAAAAAAACAATAAAAATTAAGATTATCTAGGTAAACTTTCTAAAAATATATTTATTTATATTTTAAAGAAAAATATGTTTACCTCTTACTCCATAATTACTAGACAAACACCCCATTTCCAAATCAAATTGTAACATCTCAAAAATAGAATATAAATATGAATTGACTAATGTATCTAATTTTAAAGAATATAAATATGAATTGAGATTTTTTAGATTACCAAGAGGAGAGAGAACTAATTTTAAAGAAAATAAAATAGAATTCAAATGGTTGATAGAAAAATGGTGGAAGAACTCCCTGTAAAGAAGGAAAGAGCTATAATATTTTTAAAACTCCAACTCATTTAAAATTAATTAGTTGTGATTAAAAATAAAATCTTAAAATTCTTAGAAAATAAAAGGTAAAACTTTTACGATTCAAACTCTTTATATTATATATATTAATCACTTTAAAAATGCATTTAAATTTCCATTAATTCGAAACAGAACTTCAACAATCATCCTTGCTAATAAATAAATAAATCACCATTTATATTATTTTATTTATTAAAAATTTTAAGAATATTTTACACTAATTATTTTTTAGTACAACATGTGGAGCGTGGATTCGAAACTCGCAACGTTTTGGTTGGAATTTTAGACTAATTTTTACTATTACTAAAAAATTCATGTTATACAATCATAACGTATTAGTAACATTATACATTCAATGACAAAACCGAGCATAGCTCAAATGGTTAGGGCACCTATCTTTGACCGGAAGGTCATCAGTTCTAACCCACACCCCCACGATATTGTATTAAAAAAAACATTATACATTGAATGTAGACTTTATTGTGGTATAAATTTAGAATAAATAATTAACCCTATTTACATAATTTTCTAATGAAATCACCATAGTGCTTCGCCAAAAGGCCTCATCTCTAAAAGCCCGGCTCGCGTCTTCATTCCCAAGTAAAGGGTGAGTCCCGCGCGAAAATAGAGATTTTCTCATCCATAACAAATATAATTGAAATGAATAATAATTGAACTGATTTAGATAAGTAAATTTTTCATATTCTAAATTAAATAGGGGATTTGTAATGGGTAACATATAAGTTTTCTATATTTAACAAAATAGCATGCCTTTTTGATATTTTCAGATATAACATTTTTTTGAAGATCCTGATTTTAAAATTTTCAATATTCCCAAATTACCCTTTTCAGTTATCGCTTCGTTATTATATATCAAATATATATCACATATATATCAGGAGTATATCTGACAACATTAGTATATCAGAAGTAAATCAATAGTATATCAAAAGTCAATCAGTTCTATATCAGTTGTA